CTTAGTGACATTTACCTTGACCCACTCCAAGGTTACAGTATGTTATTGTAATATAAAAATAAGCAGTGGAAAAATATAAGAACCTAAAAAAAGACTTGATTACACGTGTTAGTTAAGACTAATCTTTTAAAAAGCTATTAAGCTTTACATTTTATTATGATGAACTATTTCACAGCTCATTTTAGAAGCTGATGAGTGTCTTGTCCTGTCTTGCAAATGAAGACAACATTTGGCATAGAAGTGAGCAGTATAAGCGACATGGCACATAACTAAAGGCCCTCAGTGACATGAACTTGTAGTTAACTTTTTATCCCACGTACAATTACGTGAAACACCAATTTATTGTTTGAAAGCTCTTGTGTCTACAAGTTCACATCATACAGCTTTAACTTATAAAAATTTCACAGTGTGTAGCAAAATTAAGTTACAGTAAAATATTATGAGACTCCACTGAGAAAGAAAAAATTTTAACAAATATACTGCAATAAATAAAATGAATAAAGGTTACTGTTTGAATGTATGCACACAAAAAAAACAACTGAAGAAGTTAGGGACACTGAAACAGCTGAGGGAAGAAATAGCAAATATTACTTACAGATATCATTAACATGCCTTGCAGTGGCACGGATTCCATAAAAACAAAGCAAAATAACTCTTTTTATCTGTGTAACAGCACCCCTATAGTTCCCCAATGAAAATAAAAATTCAAAACAACTTGCAGACAAATATGTGTTTAACATAGCGTTTACAAAATCTACACACATTTGGCAAGATGAGAAAGATCAGCCAGGCTGGGGACTGCAATATCCAGAGTTTGCTCAAATGTATCTGTAATCATAATGTCAAAGTAGACACTACCCACAAGGAAAAGAAGGCTATAGTTCACGGGAAATTTCAAACAAAAAAATATCACTTTGGTTTTCTCTATTAACCCACCTTTCAAACACTGTAAGTTGACCAGCATTAAAATTCACAAGGTAAGTTAAGATACTGCCATTATTTGCATTTGAAAAAAGAATCACTCAATTATTTTCATTTATAATAATTAAAACACAGTTTACACTATATGAACTAACAATCAAAGTAGCTCGCCACATGAAAATGTATGTACTGTACCATTTTGTTGAATGACAGTCAATCTTTTAAAAAATGCCAAATAGCTTACTACTCATTCAGCATGCTGCAACATCACTTTCCATTTGTTGATGCACAACTGTTGATTAAAATGATGTCATGCTGTACTGTAACAGCGTTAGAGTTAGTTTTTTAGAAACTAATCGCTTTATACATTTAATGAAGAAATATTTTGACAACTAATTTAAAATCAAAAGCCAACACACACAGATACTAAAAGGAAAAGTAGAATACCAATACAAAACCAAATTGCTACACTACACACAAATGTTTTTCATATCGGTAAATCTACTTACACTCATCATAGAAGCCATATATTCTGTTGATGCTTGCACACTCATGATTTCCCCGCAACAGAAAGAAGTTTTCTGGATACTTGATCTTATATGCCAAAAGAAGACAGATGGTTTCTAGAGACTGCTTCCCTCTGTCCACATAATCACCCAAAAATAAGTAGTTTGCCTCTGGAGGAAATCCCCCATATTCAAACAACCTGAGAAGATCTGTGTACTGCCCGTGAATGTCACCTGTAGGAATTTTCAAAAATATTAGATTAGCACAAATAAGTATTTAATCATAACAGTACAGTAGCCATTTTACTGTCAACATCAGCTGTGTTTTTGACAGTGAGAAAAGACAGGATGTTTTATACTTTAATTTACCAAATTAAGTATTTTGTACAAAGCAAACCCATGTAAAACATTCACCTTTACATTTCGTATTAAAAGGTCACTTGCCAACATTCTGTGGTCTGAGATATTTTCATAGTTATTTTCATATTGGTGTTTTATCAAACTGGCAAGCTGTGTTAAGTGGTCAGTTGGCCAATCCTAAAAGTGACTGTACCAAACAGGTTTTTTGACTGCATGTACTACACGTATATTAAAAAACAACTGTATTAACATGTACATGTACAAAGTTGTAGTAGAGACTTTAAAGGATGGTGTTAGTTTAAGATCAGAGTTTATACATAAAGTTCCTCTTTACAGATTGCTGTGAACAACCAAGAAAGGTAGCCAATGGGAAAGAAAACTATAGGAAGAGACAAAAAAGAAGGCACAGAAAGGCACTAAAACAATGCAAGTGCAGCAAACATTCACAGTGTATATCATGTAAGGACAATCACATAGATTTAAGTGCCTTTACATTCTTATGAGTGTCTTTGCAAATGGCCTACTGACATCTATATCATCACACTGAGGGAGGTCAGTAAGAGCCAAGGGTCAGGGATTTTTCCCAGCTTCCTGAAGCATGACCCTGGCTACTTTCATAGGGAAAAAAGGAAAAACAACCTCCTAGCAGTTCAGTTCCCCACCAACTGATTGCATACAGCCTCCAACTTGAAATCTTAGTGACATTTACCTTGACCCACTCCAAGGTTACAGTATGTTATTGTAATATAAAAATAAGCAGTGGAAAAATATAAGAACCTAAAAAAAGACTTGATTACACGTGTTAGTTAAGACTAATCTTTTAAAAAGCTATTAAGCTTTACATTTTATTATGATGAACTATTTCACAGCTCATTTTAGAAGCTGATGAGTGTCTTGTCCTGTCTTGCAAATGAAGACAACATTTGGCATAGAAGTGAGCAGTATAAGCGACATGGCACATAACTAAAGGCCCTCAGTGACATGAACTTGTAGTTAACTTTTTATCCCACGTACAATTACGTGAAACACCAATTTATTGTTTGAAAGCTCTTGTGTCTACAAGTTCACATCATACAGCTTTAACTTATAAAAATTTCACAGTGTGTAGCAAAATTAAGTTACAGTAAAATATTATGAGACTCCACTGAGAAAGAAAAAATTTTAACAAATATACTGCAATAAATAAAATGAATAAAGGTTACTGTTTGAATGTATGCACACAAAAAAAACAACTGAAGAAGTTAGGGACACTGAAACAGCTGAGGGAAGAAATAGCAAATATTACTTACAGATATCATTAACATGCCTTGCAGTGGCACGGATTCCATAAAAACAAAGCAAAATAACTCTTTTTATCTGTGTAACAGCACCCCTATAGTTCCCCAATGAAAATAAAAATTCAAAACAACTTGCAGACAAATATGTGTTTAACATAGCGTTTACAAAATCTACACACATTTGGCAAGATGAGAAAGATCAGCCAGGCTGGGGACTGCAATATCCAGAGTTTGCTCAAATGTATCTGTAATCATAATGTCAAAGTAGACACTACCCACAAGGAAAAGAAGGCTATAGTTCACGGGAAATTTCAAACAAAAAAATATCACTTTGGTTTTCTCTATTAACCCACCTTTCAAACACTGTAAGTTGACCAGCATTAAAATTCACAAGGTAAGTTAAGATACTGCCATTATTTGCATTTGAAAAAAGAATCACTCAATTATTTTCATTTATAATAATTAAAACACAGTTTACACTATATGAACTAACAATCAAAGTAGCTCGCCACATGAAAATGTATGTACTGTACCATTACTTTGTACAATTGGTCTTCTATTTATTGAACAGGTGGAAAAACTTTGCCTTTTCCATGCAAGAAAAGATTTCAACCCAGGATAGACACTGCATAACAACCCAAAAGGAAGATGTAACCGTACTGATCGTACAGGATATATTTATGCGTTAGCCTGCTGTTTGCAGCGATCACCAATATTTAATGATGTAAACAGTGCGTAAACAGGAAAAATCTAGTTCATACCCCATAGGAATCAACGAAACCTAACATAACTATGGGTATGAAGTGAGAGAGGTCTAAGAAAATAAACTTGAAATAGGGAACTCCCTCGAAAAATTAGTCTTAATTAACGACAACAGACATAAAAGAGTACATGGAGTAAAGCTCATGGAAATAAGAGAAATTTTACAAATTACTTCATTTCAACTTAGATGTCAGATATTCTTTTCTTTCTAATAAGACGTGAGCAAGCCTGTTTACTTGTTTCGAGTCTGTTTTTCCAAACAGCACTAGGATACTATCTATCAGGTCCAAAAACAACAGAGGCAGTCATGCATATTACTCAACACATTTTACAATTCTCCTTTAGCCTCAAGATTTTTTATACTAATGCCTTTATGATTAGATAACTCAGAAAACTATAGTCTAAAACTACTTATTTTGAACATATTAGAACTTTTGGTTGTAAATTTTGGTGCTCATGATTTACCGCAAATTGACGGAAAAGGCTAGGTCACTCCAATCCTGAAATACCAAACACAAGGAGATCGCTATTTGCTTAGTGCCACATGCCAAAATGCGAGAAACAGATACGAAAAAAATCTGATTGAGATTTAAGCCTCTAATTTTCAGGAATATATAGCGTTTTTCAAGCCGGCCGGCGCTAGTAAGACGAGTGAGGACAAATCTAAGCCGCGAGAAGCTTTGTAAGCTTACTCTGCTCTGCATTCCTCGCAAAATGAAGACTCGGTTCACAAATGAGAGAACTACTGTGATCGAATGAGAACACAGTGAAAGGATTTGTGCATAACACAAGCAAGCTTACCACAGATTTTAAGAGGAGCCTCTAATTCCAGCAGGATGGGTTGGTTCAAAAAGATTTCTCTTGATTTCAAGCATAACCCGCGAACTTCCGATTCTGCTAGTTGTACACTCTTTCCTGGCCTACCGCGAGCTGCAGAAAAGAAGGTAATGCTTAGATCAAGTCTATACAATGCTAACTGAATGAAGTAAGGTAGAGTTTTTAGTCTCCTAACCTTCTAACAAGCGGGATATTATACTATCCACATTCAACTCGCCCTCCGCCATATCAACTACCAAATAATTTTTGGTCAACGACAGATAAGAGGTGTGCTCCTTATAAGGAATTGTTTTCCATTTTCGGCAAAACGGTTCACGTGATCAAAGCCTTTTCCAAGATGGCGGCCAAAATGGCGGCATTTATGTGTAGAAATTGTAGCAGACTTTGGGGATCATTTGCACCTGTTTCTCTCACCCAGAGATTCTTGTTTGGGCGATTACTCGCACAGAGGTAGGTCAAGTTATAAATGATAAATGCAAAACACTAAAGCTCTGGAAGACAGGACTCACCCTAACCTGTCCTGACCCACACCGCATTGCTGGGTTACCTCGGTGTAAGAACCTGTGAACTTTTTCTTTGTTTTTTACCTCTTGTTTCCCAAGGTTTTATTGTGTTGACTTCTTTGTTTTCTTTGCTTTACGTCACCGGTGAGTTTAAAAGGTTCTTACACCAAGGATAAGCCGCACTGCTCAAGTCAGTACCCCATTTTATCACTAAAATTGTACAGTAAGCTCTCTCCCGTGACAACATCGTGATGCAAATGCGGAGTGGAGAAAGGTTCCAAATGTAAACCTTTGAAAGGAAATAACTAGAGATGCATGTACAATGTACGTCCAGTACTCATAACAGCAAGATCCCCCCCGGTGTGGGGTGGGGGGGTGACTCTTGGGAATTCTTGTTGGGGTTGTGCGGCCTAAATCCTGACCCTATTTCAGACCAAGAAATTTTATTTTCAACACCTGTTTTTAGAAATCGCCTCTTGATACCTGTCTCCTTTTTTTGAGTGAGGTTCTCTGTCCAAGGGGTGTTAGGATTTTTAGGGGGACCCGGAAGTGAAGGGGGACCCGAAAGGAAAAATCGCCAATAGAAGAATGCACATATTAAGGATACAATGACTTGTTTTATTCTGAATTTTGCTCTCTACAAACAAGGTTTCTATATGTACATGTATTAGGTGCCAGCAGATTGTGCCACAGTGTTATTGCATTCCATCACTTTCAGAACTTTCTTTGCTACGGTACTAAATATTATCTTTTAGGCATCATTCTGGTTAAGTTTTTGGGGGTGATATTTTTCAAAGTCGAAAAGGTTCTGTGATTTCAATCTACATTTCACTGACCAGTCTTTTTGATAATATTCTTTAGGTATCTATGCAGCACTGCAGCAGAGTTTAAAGAGACACCAGAATCCACTGAGGCAACGGAATATAATGAAACAACATGCAAGGCAAAAGAAAATGCTCATCCTACGTTACCACATATGCTTCAAAGAAAAGGTATGGGAACTCCGGTCATTGAAGAAAATAAAGAAGGTAAGGATGTGACAAAATATTGTTCATGCATGAGAGATTTTCTTTAAAATTCCCTTAAAGGAGCTGTGTCATGAAATTCAGCCAAATTAGGTAATTACAAAATCCCCGTTAAATTAAGAAAAACGGAAAAATAACTGCTTAAAACGTTAAAGGAAAGTTAAAATAACACAACAGATACAGCAGATGCCATGGATGGGCAAAACTGAAGAAGACTGAAAGGGATTGAAATTAGGGCTTTTGAAAACTGTTCAGCCTAACAGTTTTTCAAAGTTGATCTCTGCTGTTTGCAACTTCAAAAATAATGCTCAGGAGACATATTTGTTTGTCTCGAATCTCTGATTTTGTCATTTCCATGTAATTTCTTTGCTTACTTTAAGTTCCATAGCAATTGAGGGCGAGTAATTGGCAAAATTAAACAAAATGAACTGGACTGCCGTGACACAGCGCCTTTTAAGACAGTTGTTCCATGTACAGTTGAATCTCTTGTATGCTAGCACCTGAAATCTCAAGATCACGTGGTCACCTTTGGGAGATGGTAACTTACAGAATTAGCGAAAGGAAAAAGCCATCATTTCACGACAATACCACCACCAGTTTCCCCATGAGATGAAGTCTGAGGAATGAGTGCAGAAATTCCATACTGATGACCCCACTACCTAGATGGAACTAGTGCTTCTGATTGGTTGAAGCAAACTTGCTACATTGTGCGTCCAATCAGGAGCACTATCCAGATGTGGGTAGTGATACATTACTAGTATGAATTTCTGCACTCATTCCTCAGACGTCATTTCATGGGGAAATACTACTGAGATCTTTAAAGAAAATCATGAGTGACCATGTGTTTTTGATTGATAGTAATGATTATCAAATTATTAGAAATAGGAACTAGAGATAATACTTACAGTGCAACCAGAAAAACTGTGAACACTTGAAATATTTCAGGAATGTTTATTGTGTTATGACCAATCACAGCAAAGACAAGAACATGCAAAGTAGCCACAAAACCACAAACTAATTACATTCTAGCTTGCAGTCTAATTTTCTTGCAACACAATAACATGCCAGAAATATTTCTGGTGTTCATGGTTTTCCCTGTTTGGCTGTAAAAGAGTTGAAATGAATGAGTTGAAGTTGAAACTAAGTTTCTACAACTTTATTTTTATGGTGTGGAAAAGGTTTGCATAGTAACAGGAGAGACATTACCATGTGTGGGTTCAATTCCCCTTTATTGGTAAGGCCATAAGACAATTCAAGGCCTGAAATTTTTAAGACTTGAGACAATTTTAAAGCCTTGAAAGATCTTTAGTTCAGTGCTATGATTTGCCACACCCATAAGTCGAATGTAACAAGACAGATGATCATAACAAAATGATAATAGATCTCTCATTTCGATGGCAAAAATTTTCCTCATTGCTGTGCCTTATTGCCTCCAGTCCACCCTGAAGTTGCAGAAATCCTTCGGAAGTCTAAAGTGCAGAAGGTTGGAGATAAATGGCATAAGCCCAAGATCAGTGCTAGAAGATTGGCAGATTTGAGGAAACAATATATAGCTAAAGGTTATTACTGGCCTGAGAAACCCATGGTGGATAGGGGTCTAGACAGAATGCCGAAAGGACATAAGTACGAGAGACGGAAGGAGGAAAGGTGTGTGAGAATTTTGTCATTTTACGTTTAAAGCCTTTATTCCTGTCACTCCCAGAGCTTATAATCAAAACCTATAGTGTAGTTGTTACTTTTGAATCTGTACAAAACTAAGAGATGTGACCATTCAAATGAAACCTCTTCAGCAGTACCTTTTAGTTTCTAGCATGGTGCCACTTGAGTGTTTTATGCACTTTCATTGTTTTGGCTTTAGAGTCTGAAGGTGAAATCCTATGGAACACGTATAACCATTCAAATGAAACTTCTTCTGCAGTTACTACTTTCATGCAATACTATTTATCTGTAAAGTAAACAGTGAGACTTGTGGCCGTCTTCGGCGTGACAAATTCAGCAAGGTTATCCCCAACACAGTTTTACCTGGGTGGATTGACCCCAGTTTTCATTCCCGAATCAAAAAAACAGTTAAACTCGGCTGAACATCAAAAGTAAATTAGCTTCTTAACCGTTCATGTTGTTCTTGAGCAGCATAATTAAAAATATAAAACTGTTCTAGTGAGGCCTTAAACTGCTGTTTAAAAAGTAAAATCTTTTTAAACAGCAGTTTAAGGCCTCACTAGAACAGTTTTATATTTTTAGCTTCTTGCTGTTTGCCATAATTATTGCACAAATAACTGCCATGTTGAATTCTAAAAAAAAAGTGTTGATTAGTTTGGGCAAGTCAAAGGAGTGGTGATCCTTCTAAGTGATAAAATAAAAAATGTAGCCACTCATTATCAACCTAAACAAGCAGCTTTGACCCACTCAAGAATTATGCCTTCAGGATAAAGCTGCTTGGAAACTCTACCCCGAATTCACAGAGGCTTGCAGTGCCCCACACACCAAGCCTGTTTTTAGGTCCCCCAAGTGTGATCTTTGATGCTCCCCAAAGAGAAGATGAGGGGATTGTGGGGGGGGGGGGGGGGGGGGGGGTGATTTTCCCAAAAACCGTGTTGTTCTAAGGGGGAAGCAGAGGAGGTCCCCACTTTGCAGGTGTGGGGCGGGAAAAAACGAGGGGGGAGAGAAAGAAGGAGAGTGCTGGGGGGGGGGGGGGACATCACCANTACCAAATGCAGAGGCTCTGATATTGACCTTTGTACTGACAACATTTCAGGTTGGTTAAGATTGAGGAGAACATGAAGAACATGCCGAAAATTATTGAGGATTATCGTAAAAGGATGCATGAGCTCAGGGCAAAACGAAAAGAAGAAAAAGAGCAAGCAAAACTCAAAGCACTTGAGGCACAAAGACTTGGACTTAACTTGCGTGATCCACGAGCTTTGCAGATATTAGGTGGACAGGAGAAGAAATCTAATAAGAAAAAGTTCCAAAAAAAGACGTGATAATAGGAGAATTTCTTCACTCTAGTAAAAAAAGTTGTGCTTGTTTTCCTTTTGAAAGTGCACTGTGATCATTTGCGAAAACGCCAATAGGCTTAACATCTGCCCCACGAGTGCCTGAAATTTAGTCCAAGAATAAAGGAAACTCATGTGAAATGCTCGCAGGTTAGAGTTTGCACCATTAAAACAAAATTTACAGTAATTAGAAAGTAATTACAGGCTACTGATTCTCTGTTCTCGGCTTGATCCAGGAGGAAAGATCTCATAACGAACTCTGTAGCCAGTGCGAGCTTAACACGCGCCGGTATTAGAGCTGCAAGTAACCTGAGAAAACAGCCGACATTTGGCGACGCCACCACTGGTTTTCCCGCGAAATGACGTCTGAGGAACGAGCGCAGAGATTCTATACCGATGACGTTACTCTACCCATATCTGGATGGTGCTTTTGATTGGTTGAAATATCGGAAACACTACCCAGGTCTAGGTAGTGGCACGTTATCAGTATGGAATTTCATGCGTTCGTTTCTCAGAGGTTATTTCGAGGAAAAACTAGTGATTAAGTCGCAAAATGTCGGCTGTTTTCTCGGGCTAAGCCGTAAGAAGAATGAGTTATGTTGTAATCCTGCCCGCTTTTCTGTCTGCTCGCTATGCATAGCGCTCTCGCACTCTGATTCCACCAGCTATGCAGGCTATCAGTTGTTTCCTCAGAATCAATTGCTCTGGAGATGTTCCGTGAAAACCAGCCTTAAGTTGACAAGAGGCTTGTATAGAACCTCGCTTAATAACTAGGCTTTTGTACATTATGCTTTTGCTTCCCCACTAAAATGCTCCTCCTTAATGCTCCATTTTTCCCACTAAAATGCTCGGTCTCCCCAAAAAAGTCATTAAATTGCATTATACAAACGGTTTTTTAAATTAATTTCAAAGTTTACACTTACCGGAACGTGCAAGTGTTGCAAGTAACAACGACAACGAGTACAAGTTCATAAATACAGCCAACAAAACAGCTGTATTAGGTTTTTTGTGAATTTTGAGGTTTAGTCTTCATTTTCTTTAAAAGCGCAGGAGCTCGTGGGGCATGGACTCCTGAAAAAAGTTAATTTCTATTTTATTTTCTCGGAAAAATTAATTTTCCGGGGAAAATGCCACTAAAATGCTCGAATAATGCTCAATGCTTTTGCCTCACTAAAATGCTCGAAAAAATGCTAGCATAATGTACAAAAGCCTATTAATAACGCACTGGTATGTTAGAACAATGCAAACACAGATGGCACGGTTCGTCAGAGTTCTTTCTTCGCATCATTGTGATGTTCAACCAATCCAACCATTTTCTTTATATTGTTAAACCATTGTGCGATCTTTTCCTCCATGGTAGTAAATAACGTGGTTACCAAAACAAGACCAACGAGAATGTAACCACCAAAGGCTACTGTGTAGTGCATTTTCTGGGGAACGTAGTCACCAAGACCTAATGAAAGAATGTAAAATGTAAAACACCTAAAGTAAATTTCCCCGGCAAAGTTTCTTTTCAATTTCAAGCGCATATGAAGGGCTTATTTAAGAATAAGACTTAAGGGAGGTAGCGTTCTTTTGTTAGGACAAAAGGCACTAATCAGGGGCACCCAACGATTGTTTTCTGTAAAATATATCTGTTCGGAGAAGTAGATAACTACCTAGAAGTTTCTATAGCTTGTCTAGATGACCGTAGACTACGAGTAGTCCCCATTTTTCCTCAGGGATAGTAGAGCGAGCGAAACGCGAGCGTGCGTGAAAATCACCCCAGGCGAGGAAGCTCCCCGCCGCGTCTCGCCTTTCTCGCGTACGGTGATTTTCACAGCGCTCGCGTTTCGCTCTCTCTACTATCCCTGAGGAAAAATGGGGACTACTCGTAGTCTAAGATGACCTTTCAACTGATATGATGTACGATTTTCAAAGCGATATATATGCAATGAATTCCCTACAATTCCTGAGGTACAATTTTTCACATTTCCCTCCCCAAGTCATATTTCGTAGAAAAAGAGAACCTAAATTTTTCGGATTGGAGAATGTGATGGAGAAAGGAATCAGAAAATTCTCACCTTCGTGAAGCGTTAAATTGCATCTAAATTTTTTGGGAAAATAAGACTGAATGCTGGGGTCCTTGTGATTTCGACAACACTCAAGGTGCCCTAAGATGACCGAACGCGGGATACAAATTTCATAGGTCCGCTTAGAATGCATTTCTAGAGATCTAAACTGATTAGTTTGGATAGCCTAAAAAGTGTTTTCGATATAATTAGGAGGGGAACCCGTCGTCGGCTGGCTCTGACTAATGATCAACAAATTGCCGCGCATCGTTTTCTTTTTTTTTTCGGACGAGACCAAAATTCAGCCTTTGGAAGCGCACTTGATGATATGCGCATTCGCAAAGTTTATGTATGTGCGTTATTTAATTTTGGTTCAACGGGAGAGTAATACGGGCATCGGATAATATTTTGTGGAAAAGATACCATCGCGATTGAAAGGTTTGAAGAGGATCGAGACAGCATCAACTGAGTACAACAATGAGAGGTGGTTCTCTCACTTAGGGAAAATTGGCGACGAAGAGACGTTTTGACACAGTATCGCATACTTACCAATTGTTGTTAAAGTCACGAAACAGTAATAAAATGACTCAAATAGTGACCACTCTTCCCATGACGAGAATAAAACAGAGCCAGTTGCTAAATACGCCGCATTCAAAGCGAGAATTTGCGGCAATGTCAAATGAAAAGCTTCGGTTTCTGTTCGTTGGTCTCTGTAATCCTCGTCTTTCTTCTGCTTTGCCACATCAAGCCGTCTTTTGCGCCTCTGATTTGCACGGTGCAAAAGCTGAAGAACACTAAGTTTGAAAGCAAAAAATACAAAAATGAATAGTAAATAAAAAACATTCAGTTGGCCGGAATGCTGATATCATCTTAGACACTTCCGATGAAGTAGGCGTGAATGTTCTTCTTTTCGTTGAGGTTGTAAATCGATGATTTTTATCGCACTTTGGGCCAGACAAAACGGCAATAATCAGCCTTTCCATATAGTATTGCTTTAGGGGCTGTAAGTGGAAGAATTAAGAAAGCAGAGAAGAAGAACTGAAGAACAAATTAACGGTTTGTTTAAGAACGGTATTTTATAAAGTTCAAATAAAGTTCAAGCCACGCCTAGACTGGTCCCCGTTTGGGCATTAATTCCAATTTTCCGACAAGCATCCCCCTGCCACTTTCATATCACAGTCTCCCTCCCCCACCACCGAAATGTATGACTTACTCTCTTATGAAGGAAGCCAGATTTGAGGCTACCACCGAGAACAGTGGTATCCCCACGAAACCATAAAGGATACAGAAAATCCGTCCGAACTTGGACACTGGAACGATGTTTCCATAACCTGGAGGTGATACACAAAAAAAAGTCTTAATAAACTGTTTTACCTTGGTAGGTTGCTCTTTTACCGATTTCAGATCATGTGATGTTCGATTTACACTGGTAAATGCTATGTAATTACTTCTTAGATACTAAAAAGAACTTAAGCCTGGGGAGAATCTGCTGAGTCCAGAAAGTGCAGGTGTAATGGCGTTTTTTATTTTTGTGCCCGAGTTTACTTTGGGCAACGGATATCCAAAACACCCACTGAGATACTTTTGGCTTTTTGATCAGCGGGGAAAAGCCAGGGAAAAAGAGCTTTCCCTGGTCTACTACCTTCTACAACCACTTGTCTACTACCTTCTAAAGCAATCGTAAAAAGATTAAGCACTTTTTATAATAGTTGTAACAATTTTTTGAGGGGAAAACTAAACAGCCTAAAAGGTTCAATAAACATGTGGTTCGCAAAAGAAAATAGTCGTTTCCTCGGAAAACACAAAGAAATTCCGGAGAAGTAACATCTGTCCTGTATCTTAAGCAGGTGTTTCGAAAAATAAATACCTGCTACCTGGTTACGTTCAATTTGCATCGTATTTAATTCTACACAGCAATTATTTTAATTTCCATTTAAACGTTTTCAGCACATTGATCCAACATTGTACAACACTGAATCCATTGCAAGAGGCCCCCCAAAAAACGTGATCCAACATCATTCTACCATCAAACAATGTTGGATAAAGTTGGATCTGTTACGGAAAATTAGTTCGCCTGTACTGAATTTCCCGCCATAGTTTCTTTGAATTTTTGGATGATATATCGAATGTTTTTAATGTATAAAAATTGGGGGAGGAGGATGTTTAAAATTTGGAAAAATTGGAAAATATTAGATTTTGGGGTTGTTAAAAATTCAAATCTGTAGTGAATAATTTGTAGACAAATAACGAATAATGAGGTGGTCAGATTGAAAAATATTCCTACCTATCGTGGTGAATACTGTGCAAGCAAATAATCACGAATCAGCCAAACTCCACTCCGCGGGGCTGGATGTATCAAGAGACAAACGCTTCTCATAGGAATCCAGCTTTCCTGTCACTTTTGCCGACCAGTCATCAAAACCCAAGTTATTTTGATTCCATAGCTCCTTTAGAAGCTCTTCCCTCGAGATCTTCGGCTGGCCGTTTTCAAGTGAAGCAACGTTTTGCGTCTCCAGCGTTCTGAAGACGTACGCGCCAAATAAGCCATACAGAATCAAAATGGAAATTAAGATAGCATTATACAGAATTTGCGCTCTGGTTTCCGCAAAATTCATGTTGCTGGCTTGTCAGTTGTGAATTGAAACTCTCAGTCGCTCAACTGGTTACAGACCGTCGAAAACAGTAGTCGCTAATTTAAATTTCAATTGCTGGAAATTAATTATTAATTCGTGGTTCAATATTGTATCTTTGGCTTTGCATTAAAACCTCAGTGCTGCGCAATTTCTGTGAGGAAATGGGGAGTGAGTGAAACACAAAATCTAAGCTGAGTTACTACACGGTAGAAAATTGGAAAGTTTTTCTTCAAACCTTAATCAACCCAGTTGACAAATCTAAATTTTAGAGACCTAAGAGATATGTGCAAACAGGCTATGCTGTGCTGCAACGGCTGCGAACACTGCCGCCTCTCACTGACCCCTAGTCTCCTACGCAGCCGCTCGGGCAGGAGTCACGCAAGCTCCCGCCTCCGGCCCGAACGGCTGCGAAGGAGACTAATTGACCCCCTTCCCTGGGCAACTTTCGCAACACTTGGTAGCCTGTCCCTGGTGTCCAGGCGTTCAGATAGTAAAGCGCAGGCGAAAAATTGACGAGAGAAAATTGCAAGCAGAGAACAGGACAAAGAAAGGGGAAGGAACGCCTGTAAACTAAACATATCCTTACTCTCGCCTCTGTCTCTCCTGTCTTTAAAGTAATTCAATTGTCTTCATTAACCCTTTAAGCCTCACTATTAACCTCGTCCCCAGGGCTATTCTCCCATTTTCAAGACGAACCCCGCGTATTGTAGAGGTAGGGATTGTGTGAAAGTTTGGATCCTATTTGGGACCAGTCCGAAATACAGAGGGGTGTCCAACAGGGGGTCGAAGGCAACTAACAAAGAGACAATTGAAAGAAAATCAGTATTCATTTCTTAGAATACAGTTTCCAGTAAAAATACACACATTCAGTGCGCGTAGCGCTAAAAATTTCCCACTTGGGACTTGAGTAAAATGCCCGAGAAAGGACCTTAAAACGAGACCTTAAGAAGGACTTATGTCACACTTAGTTTGCAACACATTTTAAAAGTATGTTTACATATTTACAGATAAATCTTCCCATAGTTAAGTTACAGTAAACCGTGGTGAAAATACGAGAAACTGAACAATGACCATTTCCACGCTTGTAAAACTTATAACCTTCATTACCGTAAAATTAGACTACCACGAGTTCCAGGCGCCTTGTCATTAAATAGGTCCTTCATTTTCCCTAATTTAACCCAGCAACATTGAGTTTATTTGCTGCATGCGCGACTTTATGATTCGCACCAAATTAAGAACTTGCACTCATACACTGTCTACACTGTAGACGTCACAATTTTGAAACTGTTTGCGCGACAGCCACTCCCTAACAAATCTCACACCAACACAGAACTATCTGGCTGTTTAAAGCTGGCAAATGAGATGCCAGGTTATCTCGGTTGAACAAAACATTACATCTCGCTTGAGAACCTGTTCATTCCTCGTAAGATGAAATTTCGTCCACTATCACCTCCTCCCAACATCTTCGAAATACGTTCCCTCGCTCGGGCATGTAATGGCACGTTCTGCTTCCTGGAAGTATCAGAACTTTGTTAGTGGTTAACAGACTTGGTTACTCATCTCTTCTCTCGCATAGTGCAAGCATTCCTTCCAATCCCAACTTCGTTATTTTGCAGGGGAAGATTTGTTCAGCCTTATTCATCGATGTTAGTTCTGTAATCACTTCCAGCTCTGCATGTTTGCCCAACAGCCTTGACTTTGCCTGTTTCAGGCGATCAGTTAGTGGATTACAGGGCGAAGTCAGAGAGCGGTTATTCCTGCTCACATCTCTTTGCGTTGCCCCCACAAACTGAACGCCTCGAACAGGGTACCGCTTGATCCTCCTTTTACCTCCCTCGAACGTTTTGTTATATTAATCTCCACAACTTCCACTATTCTGTCAATCTCCAATCCTCCCTCCTTAAAATAGAATCTCCATCCTTCCTATTAGGTGCGAAGGCGTGTTCAGCTTTTGAGAGAGTGTCAAAATTGAAGTATTTTACTTTTTACACTTGGCCGACATTTCAGGCATACTTCCATCACTCCCGACTTCATTCTTGTAGAAGAATCGTTGTATTCATCCCTGTCCCCTTGGCCACGTACTGAGTTACCAGCTCGCTCGGCTATCTACCAGGGACTGCGTTATGGTAAATCACACTTTGCACTTGTCCAACGCCCTTAGTGTGGCCTTCTCTGAAGAAGACCCTCGCTCCTTCACGAATGTACTCCGGCTGCTTCATGAACTTGAAACGAACCTTTGCTCGTTGACCAGTCCTCAGAGAGTCCTAGTAAAACAGAAACGTAACAATAAGCAGTTTAATGACTGGGTATCCTGTGGCACTAGGAGCCTATTCCCTACGGTCGTCACTCGTTTCCATCCGCCAAACTGACATTTTCCTCTCAGTGGCTCTCACAAGAAATTTGACTTTTCTTACATGAAATTCTCTGACTCTCGAAATTTCTGTTCATAAAAGTCTAAGTCTCTTCAATTTTTAAGGAAAAATAAATTCAAGACGGCACGAGTAGGATTCGATCTCGGAGCTTCGGCTCTGCAGTGCATCACTTTAACCCCTACACCACCGAGGATTTGCTGACAATGAATGGTTTGATTTGAATATATATAGCAACAACCCTAATCCTAACCCTAACCTTACCCTAACCCTTACTTTGTGTACGAATCATAAATCTGTCAACGTCAGTTTAGCTTATGGAAATAAGTGTTGATCAATCCCTACTTCAAAAACTCGAGGGAGAATGGATACAAGCTTACCCAAAGATTTCTAGGATAGTTTGGGAGGACAAGCGCTAGTTATGATTGATGGATGGTATTCAAGGCAACCATCAACCGTTCATAACTAATGCTCCTCCAACCGAACAATCCCAGATATCGTTGCGCCGAAAGCTTGTGCCAAATCCTCTGATAGTTTATGGAATGGATTATGGATCAAATCATGAGATGTAACCCGGCATTACAAAGTTCCTGAGCAGTACTTTTCTTTGCTGCTGTTTATCACGCTGTGCAATTGATTCTAACTACCGAGCCTTTGAATAAAATCCTTAGAGTGACTATGAAAAAAAGGCTAGCCTGCGAGTAAGCTCTCCATTTGGGGGAGTCGCGAGGAGTTACGCGAGAGCTGCACGCGAAAGGAGACGCGAGTGGCAGGGATGGGACAAAAACAGCTTACCCCCCCGGCTTCGCCGCTCGCTCGCGTGTTTTTTTTCCGCTCGATTCGATCGCAGGCTAAAAAAGGCTAATGAGCAGCATTTTCCATTGGTCGTGCTGATCGGAGACATCACTGTTTACAAACATTGCTTTTGTCATTAAAATTTGTAACGAGCGACACAAGAACTAATGGGCTTCTGATTTGTACATAAATATCAATAGGAAACGTCAGCAAGAGTATCGCTATTAAGTTTTTATGAAATCGTACGGTATGATTATTCAAATAAAAGCTACTTAGCGTAATTTCTTACCACAATACCCTGCTTGAGTTACACTGAGTTCTTTCCAATGTTTTACTTTAACTTCTTGACCCACCGATCGGGATCGGCCTGCGTAACAGGCATTATTGTCTGCTTTTTCAAGCGAGCTGCAGTGTAAGGCAAGCGCGAGACGGGAAAGAAGCGTTATTTTTGGTGCTCCTCGCTCGCCCAAAAAACGCGAAAAAAGAACGCCTGTTATGTAGGCGAGATCGGGATTATGTGTATATACTATACCCTGTTCATCTCCTCAATGACTGCTGTTTGAATAACGTTTCCAATATAGACAGTGGCTTGAAAACGTTTGCTTATCGAAGTGGTGTGAAATAGTAGAAACACCTCGGCCCAAAATCCATAGCATGGGCGTGGCTTCTGAACAGGGTCTGCGAGAACCATGCCCTGTAATAAATACAAACAAATCCACGTCATCGAAAGCCAACATAACAAAACAATTATAGTAAATTAAAATAGTTATTGCCGAAAAAAAAATATATAATAATTGAATTTTGCAAGACAATAGTACTATTATTGTACACAGAATCACAGACATGCTACACAAGGCGATTTTTAGGGCAAAAGAGGCAGCAAATAGCGTTCTGAGAAGGTCTTGTCACTTGCATTCACTTACCAAAAATCTCAAGTATTTTTTTTTGGGTAACCAAAGAATGGCCTAAAATTTGAAATGCCCCTTTATGACTGCAGCCCCTCAAATCAGTGCTCAGAGAAAACTTCAATTCAAGTCTGACCTTTGGGCAAGCACTTCTCACGTTTTGTTTAACCGGGGCAACTACTTGCTTGCCTTAGCTAATGATTTAGTTGGAGGATGAAAGAAAATCTACTTGTCCCAGACGACACAACAAGACACTTTTTGAGCCCTGCAAATGCCAGGTTCTTACAGAAAGCCTAGAAGTTCACTCATTAAACTTACTCGTCTCAGCAAGTTCCTATCCATTCCACTGATTGCCACAGTAGCAGCCTGGCCTGCACGCACCACACGGCAGGCAGCACGGTTCCTCTTCACGGATGTCACAGTAACTGGATGGAAGGAACCGTCCTGCAATGGACCCAGGAGAAGTTGATCACCTTCACGCAACACACCCCTGACAAGAAGACAATCAGACTGGACTTAAAATAGTGCAACTTTGTTACTGTACATATTTTACAAAGTCTTATTCAATATCAATAACTAACAAAACTGTGATTACTATTAACAGTTCAATTCATCTCTAACAAAAGAACACAGGAGGAGCCCTGCAATTCCCCAAGGGCCACCTTGTAGGTTATGGCCTGGTGTGGAAGAAGACCGCTGGCCAACTCGATCAAGTTTAACTTTGCCTGAATGATATTTAGCCCCATTTAAATTCCTGCTCTATGAATTGCTACTAGAAGACTTTCAATCAAAATCCTGTGATAGTTTGCTGTATTTTTTAGTCCAAGTCTCTATTATTTTTCCCAAAGAGGTGGAAGAGTTAGCAAAACAGTTGGGTTTCTGTAAAACTGATTCTCAAGACAAAACAAGTCCAATCTTTGGGTGATCGATTTCCTGCTAACAGCTATGTATTGTTTGATTTTTCTTTACCACTCCAAGAAAAGTAAGCCTAATAATTAGACAAGTATTTTTTTAGAGTACTCCAGTTTATTTGAAGTGATTTTGTTACAAATAGTTCCAGTTGTATGGTGAGTCCTGGGACTCATCTTGTGAAAAATCCTGAGTCCCTATCCATAACCAATGAGTCCCAGTTCAAAAAATTGAAAATACTTGGGCCTTTACAGTGTGTGTAACCAAACAGTTAAATCACACAAATAGGATATTCTACCAAAAAATCTACGAATAAACCTATTGTTCTTTGCATCCTACCGGACGCATGCCATGAATTATTTTGCATCTTTGGGGATTTTTATGCTTCAGGGACTCAGGTACAGAGGTAAAAAAAGCACTGTTGTTTGTTGGAAAAACAACATTAGGCTATTACAGCAGTAGGACAGGCTGCCTTGTCTGTTTTCACCTTTCTAAAGTTCCACCAACTACAGGTCCAGTACCAGGAACATTGAATATTTTGTCCACCTAGTAACAAACACAACATACCCGGTATTACAAACGTCAAACTAATCTCTGTGCTCCCTTACTGTAAGTCTTTCATTGACAGGGGAGGAGATGGGGAATGGGCAGCTTGTGTTCTCTGTGGACCCAACAAACTATCATGGAAAAAGTCTGCCTAATCAACAGAACTTGTGGTCTTGCATAAACAAAGCTCTACCATGTAAAACCGATTAGTGCCAAAGTCTCAGGGGCATTACTTTGGTCAAAAAGGGAAAAAAAAAACAAAATGAGGGAAATGTTAAATAAAATAGAATGCAATTAAACAATGGGGATGTGTCAGGTAGGAATTTTTCCTTGTTGCTCAGTATAAAAATAATACGGACTGCAGACTGTGTATAAAATGCAGACTGCTGACTATGTTTGTAAAAACTGTGCTAGTTGGTTCTAGTTAAGGTAAAATAAGATCAAAAGATCGCTAAATAGCACAACACTTGAGTTTAAGTTATAAATACTCCTAGAAATTTTGGTGGATGTGTGCCGCCCAGTTCTCCAAATCCTGAGCCTGACCAAAATGCTTTTTCCACACCCACTTTTAGACCTGGTCTTGGTCTCTAACATCCATGACAGGGGTCACTGAGAGGCGATGTACATGTTAACATAGGTGTAAATCATATCATCATCGCTTAGAATATAACGTTGGATGATATATTTCAGTTATTATTCACGTATAGGTGAGTAACCCCTTCCCCCTAAATACAGCTTTTTTGCATCGCATAATGCCCCTATATTGTTGAACTTCTTGTCTGGGTTCTTCATTTCCTCATATCCCCTAGGCTTTGAAATGGAATTGTGGCAGAATTTTACTCTCACTGACACCAATTAATACTATTTTTTATTTGGTGCGTCTCAATCTCACATCTTCTATTGGCTTAAAACTATAAAATTCAATTGAATTTTCCTGTAACTTCTTCTTTTTATAAAATTCAGAGTTTCATTTTCAGTTGCCTTGAGCAGCGGCATAACCTTCCTTGCCCTTGCAGTATGCTTTCCTTCTCCACACGACGCTGACGTTGGGGACAGTAGACTACGTGACCAGCCAAAGGAATGTTTGTGTGAGAGGCAAGGAGCTGGGACTACTGTTTTATGCTAGTCCGCTATCCGCTTCTCTCAGTTTTACCTTTTTAAAGATGTTCTTATATACACAGTCCGCGTTTTATATTGTTTTATACTCAGTCCATAGTTTCTAATCCTCATTTTATACCTAGTCCATGTTTTATACCCAGCCTGCAGTCCACGTTTTATACTGACTGTTTTCCTGGTGGCTTTGTTGCGTGCAAAAATATTTCTTAAGGGCTGGCTCTACTGCCAAAAAATAGCCCTTCATGTGGATTTGATATGCCAAATGTAAGTGAAAGCAGAACACAAACAAGTTTGCACCTTTAATAGACAGATTTTCTTACAGAAAGCCTAGAAGTTCACTCATTAAACTTACTCGTCTCAGCAAGTTCCTATCCATTCCACTGATTGCCACAGTAGCAGCCTGGCCTGCACGCACCACACGGCAGGCAGCACGGTTCCTCTTCACGGATGTCACAGTAACTGGATGGAAGGAACCGTCCTGCAATGGACCCAGGAGAAGTTGATCACCTTCACGCAACACACCCCTGACAAGAAGACAATCAGACTGGACTTAAAATAGTGCAACTTTGTTACTGTACATATTTTACAAAGTCTTATTCAATATCAATAACTAACAAAACTGTGATTACTATTAACAGTTCAATTCATCTCTAACAAAAGAACACAGGAGGAGCCCTGCAATTCCCCAAGGGCCACCTTGTAGGTTATGGCCTGGTGTGGAAGAAGACCGCTGGCCAACTCGATCAAGTTTAACTTTGCCTGAATGATATTTAGCCCCATTTAAATTCCTGCTCTATGAATTGCTACTAGAAGACTTTCAATCAAAATCCTGTGATAGTTTGCTGTATTTTTTAGTCCAAGTCTCTATTATTTTTCCCAAAGAGGTGGAAGAGTTAGCAAAACAGTTGGGTTTCTGTAAAACTGATTCTCAAGACAAAACAAGTCCAATCTTTGGGTGATCGATTTCCTGCTAACAGCTATGTATTGTTTGATTTTTCTTTACCACTCCAAGAAAAGTAAGCCTAATAATTAGACAAGTATTTTTTTAGAGTACTCCAGTTTATTTGAAGTGATTTTGTTACAAATAGTTCCAGTTGTATGGTGAGTCCTGGGACTCATCTTGTGAAAAATCCTGAGTCCCTATCCATAACCAATGAGTCCCAGTTCAAAAAATTGAAAATACTTGGGCCTTTACAGTGTGTGTAACCAAACAGTTAAATCACACAAATAGGATATTCTACCAAAAAATCTACGAATAAACCTATTGTTCTTTGCATCCTACCGGACGCATGCCATGAATTATTTTGCATCTTTGGGGATTTTTATGCTTCAGGGACTCAGGTACAGAGGTAAAAAAAGCACTGTTGTTTGTTGGAAAAACAACATTAGGCTATTACAGCAGTAGGACAGGCTGCCTTGTCTGTTTTCACCTTTCTAAAGTTCCACCAACTACAGGTCCAGTACCAGGAACATTGAATATTTTGTCCACCTAGTAACAAACACAACATACCCGGTATTACAAACGTCAAACTAATCTCTGTGCTCCCTTACTGTAAGTCTTTCATTGACAGGGGAGGAGATGGGGAATGGGCAGCTTGTGTTCTCTGTGGACCCAACAAACTATCATGGAAAAAGTCTGCCTAATCAACAGAACTTGTGGTCTTGCATAAACAAAGCTCTACCATGTAAAACCGATTAGTGCCAAAGTCTCAGGGGCATTACTTTGGTCAAAAAGGGAAAAAAAAAACAAAATGAGGGAAATGTTAAATAAAATAGAATGCAATTAAACAATGGGGATGTGTCAGGTAGGAATTTTTCCTTGTTGCTCAGTATAAAAATAATACGGACTGCAGACTGTGTATAAAATGCAGACTGCTGACTATGTTTGTAAAAACTGTGCTAGTTGGTTCTAGTTAAGGTAAAATAAGATCAAAAGATCGCTAAATAGCACAACACTTGAGTTTAAGTTATAAATACTCCTAGAAATTTTGGTGGATGTGTGCCGCCCAGTTCTCCAAATCCTGAGCCTGACCAAAATGCTTTCTCTACAGCCACTTTTAGACCTGGTCTTGGTCTCTAACACCCATGACAGGGGTCACTGAGAGGCGATGTACATGTTAACATAGGTGTAAATCATATCATCATGGCTTAGAATATAACGTTGGATGATATATTTCAGTTATTATTCACGTATAGGTGAGTAACCCCTTCCCCCTAAATACAGCTTTCTTGCATTGCATAATGCCCCTATATTGTTGACCTTCTCATCTGGGTTCTTCATTTCCTCATATCCCCTAGGCTTTGAAATGGAATTGTGGCAGAATTTTACTCTCACTGACACCAATTAATACCATTTTTTATTTGGTGCGTCTCAATCTCACATCTTCTATTGGCTTAAAACTATAAAATTCAATTGAATTTTCCTCTAACTCCTTCTTTTTATAAAATTCAGAGTTTCGTTTTCAGTTGCCTTGAGCAGCGGCATAACCTTCCTTGCCCTTGCAGTATGCTTTCCTTCTCCACACAACGCTGACGTTGGGGACAGTAGACTACGCGACCAACCAAAGGAATGTTTGTGTGCGAGGCAAGGAGCTGGGACTACTGTTTTATGCTAGTCAACTATCCGCTTCTCTCAGTTTTACCTTTCTAAAGATGTTCTTATATACACAGTCCACATTTCATATTGTTTTATAATCAGTCCATAGTTTCTAGTCCTCATTTTATACCTAGTCCATGTTTTATACCCAGTCCGCAATCCCCTTTTTATACTGACTGTTTTCCTGGTGGCTTTGTTGCTTGCAAAAATATTTCTTAAGGGCTGGCTCTACTGCCAAAAAATAGCCCTTCATGTGGATTTGATATGCCAAATGTAAGTGAAAGCAGAACACAAACAAGTTTGCACCTTTAATAGACAGATTAAATATTTTTGCCTTGTCAAATGACATCTACATGTACCCTTGAAGATTGCAAGTAAAGTTTTTTTTGTTTACAAAACGATTAGAGAGAAACTCACCTGATACTCTGTTAATTCCTGTGCAAGTTTCTCCTGATCCATGGCTGATCGCGCTGGAGGTACAAGATTCAGAAACTTTTTTATGAGATTAAGATTCTCGCCAGTTACACAAGAGACCGTAAAAACTGGTGTCACCCTAAAGAAAAGAATATATACATTGACTTATTACTTGTAGTACAACCTTTTTCACAGGCAATATAAGGTCATAGCACTTTTGGGGTTATGTATGGTGCAATAATTGAATAACCAATGTACAAGAGTATTGAGAAGGGAATGAACAAATACTACTGCTAAGCACAACGGCTTACCAACAATACTTTCTGCAACAACAACCAAGCTACATTGGGTATCATAGTGAAAAACTGAAATGTACTGTATTTTGGTTGAAAACTCAAGTGTTATAGCTCATCACTGCTTCAAAATTTCAAAATTTTCTGGTGGAACATTTTTATAATTTATATGCGTAGCACAACATCAGGGACCACTTGCTAATGATTAAATAGGTAAATGTTCCTGGAATTATACAGCGGTTAAGTAAAGTAACTTACTGATTTGAAATGAAGTTTGTTGCAGCAACTATAACATCATCTTCAGTTTCAACAACAACGGGTACTTTTTTACAGCCAGGAGATTTTAAAAGTCGATCAAGAACTTTTAGGGTGTGTCCCACCATTGTTGGTAAACAGATGTCAGTTTTGTTTACGATCACTAAGGTAGGAACCTTGAGCGCCATGGCTAAACCCAGATGTTCTTTTGTAGTTCCAACTAAACATAATTTTCAACATTGCAAAATATTAATAACTGCAAGGAAACATAATAATAGTTGATTGCACAGTGTAGTAAGAGAATCATTTTAAAATTATCAATTAAGACAAAAAGTTAAATTAACTTTTAAAAAAACTTTTTTTTGCACACATACTGTACTTAAATGTATCTATGCATCTGTGATTATTGATAATTTATGGGAGATTTAAAAGAATTTAAATATATATTTTTTAATTTTCTTATTATTAGAAAACTGCACAAATTAAAGCTTGCAACAGAACTTGTAAAACTTCTTTTTTGGAAGTACTGGGGTCACCAGTTCCTGTCCAAAAATGAATGATTTCCAGACAGGGAACCAGACTGACATAGGAGAGGAATAAATGTGATAATCTACATGTGACAAAATCATGCAACCAACTATTCATCAAGACAGGGGGAGACACCAGCTACCGGGAATGTGCAACAAAGTGACTTCACACACTATAAATGTTAAGTACAATACTAAACAGTAACTCTGCTGTAAGCTTATATTTGAGCAAAATGCTGGGTTAAAACGCACCTACACCAGCGTTTCCAGCAATGACCAGCATAGCAAAATCTGGGGAATGACCCGTCAGACCAAATATTGTTGTTCTTAAATATTTGTGATGTCCAGCAAGGTCTATAAATGTAATGAGTTTGGATGACTGCTCACAAATGTCTTCTGCAGTGCGCGATTCACTGTAGTTTATAACCTAGGTAAATACAAAAAAGGGTGTAAATTCTCAAAATCTGGGGAATGACCCGTCAGACCATATATTGTTGTTCTTAAATATTTGTGATGTCCAGCAAGGTCTATAAATGTAATGAGTTTGGACGACTGCTCACAAATGTCTTCTGCAGTGCGCGATTCACTGTAGTTTATAACCTAAGTAAATACAAAAAGGGTGAAAATTCTCATTATTTAATACTTTTTTCAAAAATTCAGGTAAAAATCAATACGGAAATTAAGATTTGTAACCAGGGCTCCATTAAAATAAATTAGGGACTGCTGCCAGTCATGTTGACTGTCCAAAGAAATTTTAGCTTGGTCTTGTCTCTCTTCTGCCAGTTCAAAATGTTAAAAATAACACTATAATAACTTGAATGTGTTAGCCTAAAGAGCAAACACATGAACTGAAAATAGATGCTTGTCCTCTTGAGACACAATGGCTTGAAGCATTTTTTTTCTGGCCACCTACTTGCAAGTCCGTCAAAATGCCTGGCAACCTGAAAGTTTGTCCAGACAAATGATTGGGCCCCTTCTCATACAAGGAGTTTGGGAAAGTTAAGTACTACAGTATTTCATTGTACCTCTCCTTTACTATTGAATCCTAGTATTTCATGACTAATACTTGACGTTCTCCCACTTTGAATCTCATGAAGGTGTCGAAAAAGGTTCAACCGTGCTCGTCCACGGCCATTGTCTAACTCATCATGTGTTAAGACACCCAGCAGGGTACTTTTCCCAGCATCAACGTTTCCCAACACCGCGAGTCGTATGTCAATAAACTACAAAAAGAGTATCAAACCACTGAAATCTGCAAAAATTACTAAGATCTTTGAAACAGACTGAAAAGTGAACAAAGACAAAGTAATAGGAGTTTTGATATTACATAATTCTTTTTTGCAATCAACTGTACAGAATCAATGTTTTTATGTAATAAGAAATTACTGCAAAAGGCAAAAATTTTCTAAATCCTCCCACTTTTCAGCACTGATTTATAAGCTGGGTTTGATGTAATCGTCTGAAATGTCTTGATCATCCCAACTGTCCCTCATAAATGTTGGCAGCCAATACAATCTAGACAACTACATGGAAACCAGGCTAAAAAAGCACAGGTAACAACAATATTCTAATCCAATAGATCCCGTCTTTCAATGAATCAGTATCCATTTGCAACAAAATATTGCATACAGGGTGCAAAGAAAGTAAGTTTTACAGCTTGCCATTTGTGCAAGCTGTAGCTAGCATGTACTAGCCTAAAAGTTGATTCAACTGGCCAAAAAAATTTTTTGATGAGCAGGAATGATTACAGTTCTTCCATAATTTGAATTACCAAAAAACCTTCAATAAGCCCAACAGCAAAATCCACTAGCCCCAGGCTATCAGGCACTACTCAGAGCTGAAGATAACGGACAGCAGGCTGCCGGTCATGATGACCAGCCAAACATTTTTTAGCCTGGACAAACCCCGATTCTGGCCGGTCAAATAATGAATACTAATAATTTTTTTTTGCCTAAGGAATATCCAGTTATGCTGGCAATAGATCGTTATTAATACATTGACCAGTGTGTAAAGAAAGAAGTGTCCGATAGCCCAGGGCTAGTGGATTTTGCTATTGGGTTAGTGAATTCTGTTCTTAACTTGCCTGACGGGCAAGTGATGTTTTTTGAGGAATTTGAATAACAGAAGAACTGTGAAATAAATTCTGCTCATCAAAAAGCTTTTGGGGCTAGTTGAAATGATGTCTGGGCTGGTAAATGCTAACTTCAGCTTGTGTGAATTGCAAACTGTAAAAAAGATTTTCTTTGCACCCTGATTGACGTTCACATTTTTGACAGCAAGTTGGTGAAAAATGCATTTGCATGTTGTAGAGTTCCTTTCCGCGGTTTTCGCGGATTGGGTTAATTGGGTTATTTTATAAAATCTGCATGTACGCTTGTTTTACGTTGATGTTCCGAAATGAACATCGGTGGAACTTGATCTTTTTCCTTGCCTGGCACGTGATCGAAAGTCACCTCCTCAAAGAATTGTCGCTAATATTTTTGGCAAAGAAGTTGATTTGCATTGGCGAGAAGTTTGTTCCACAAACAGCGTGTTTATCATAAGAAGTCAATAAATAAATTTGGGTCATCGCGCAACATTTTATTGCGAAGGGCTCAAATGTCAACAGAAATTTGCATAAAGTTGTTTACAAGAACGAGAATCTAGCGCCGAGATAGACGACGACCTTCCCTCTTGATTAGCTTAAATGTTTATCAGACCATTCCGGAATCAAGTCTGCAAATGAGATTCACGTTTGACATAAAAGAAATAATAATTTATTAATTGTGCGCTAACATTTATTCCTGGAGAAACAGAGGAAAACCTGTTGAGAATTGCGATCGATTTACCTAAATTCCTTCGAATTCCCAAAGAAGGTCACATTACTGATTACAGCAAAGCAGAAAGTACAGTACGACTTGCCATGTTGCGTTACTTTTCAACTCAGTTTGTTATTGACTTTGTTGCGTTTCATTACGATATGATGACATGAAATTAATTTACTGTGGTGTTCTTTTTCTTAGAAGGGTTTAGTGCAAAGCAGCAAAAAACGCCAAAGCAAAAAGAAATCATTGCAGCGTTATAGAGCATTAAGCGACAACTTTATGGAAAATAAAATGTTTGTATCCAAAAATGACCAGCAAGACCGGAGTTTGACCGGTCAAGTCCGCGATCAGGCTGGACATTGTCTGTTGACCAACCGTTATTTTCAGCCCTGCTACTTGCTTTACATGCTGAGCATACCTTCTGATCATCTGGCACTCGCCGAACAAAGACCTCAGCTACTTCCCTTGCAAGGCTAGTGCCCGTGCTTTCCACTACATGACGTCGAAGCAAGGTGGTATGAGCACCGAGCTTGGATGCCATGACATTAAGTGTGTTAAGAGATGAATCCAGCTCTTCTCTTGTAAGACCAACAAACATGCCATTGTCTTTACAAAACGATTAGAGAGAAACTCACCTGATACTCTGTTAATTCCTGTGCAAGTTTCTCCTGATCCATGGCTGATCGCGCTGGAGGTACAAGATTCAGAAACTTTTTTATGAGATTAAGATTCTCGCCAGTTACACAAGAGACCGTAAAAACTGGTGTCACCCTAAAGAAAAGAATATATACATTGACTTATTACTTGTAGTACAACCTTTTTCACAGGCAATATAAGGTCATAGCACTTTTGGGGTTATGTATGGTGCAATAATTGAATAACCAATGTACAAGAGTATTGAGAAGGGAATGAACAAATACTACTGCTAAGCACAACGGCTTACCAACAATACTTTCTGCAACAACAACCAAGCTACATTGGGTATCATAGTGAAAAACTGAAATGTACTGTATTTTGGTTGAAAACTCAAGTGTTATAGCTCATCACTGCTTCAAAATTTCAAAATTTTCTGGTGGAACATTTTTATAATTTATGTGCGTAGCACAACATCAGGGACCACTTGCTAATGATTAAATAGGTAAATGTTCCTGGAATTATACAGCCGTTAAGTAAAGTAACTTACTGATTTGAAATGAAGTTTGTTGCAGCAACTATAACATCATCTTCAGTTTCAACAACAACGGGTACTTTTTTACAGCCAGGAGATTTTAAAAGTCGATCAAGAACTTTTAGGGTGTGTCCCACCATTGTTGGTAAACAGATGTCAGTTTTGTTTACGATCACTAAGGTAGGAACCTTGAGGGCCATGGCTAAACCCAGATGTTCTTTTGTAGTTCCAACTAAACATAATTTTCAACATTGCAAAATATTAATAACTGCAAGGAAACATAATAATAGTTGATTGCACAGTGTAGTAAGAGAATCATTTTAAAATTATCAATTAAGACAAAAAGTTAAATTAACTTTTAAAAAAACTTTTTTTTGCACACATACTGTACTTAAATGTATCTATGCATCTGTGATTATTGATAATTTATGGGAGATTTAAAAGAATTTAAATATATATTTTTTAATTTTCTTATTATTAGAAAACTGCACAAATTAAAGCTTGCAACAGAACTTGTAAAACTTCTTTTTTGGAAGTACTGGGGTCACCAGTTCCTGTCCAAAAATGAATGATTTCCAGACAGGGAACCAGACTGACATAGGAGAGGAATAAATGTGATAATCTACATGTGACAAAATCATGCAACCAACTATTCATCAAGACAGGGGGAGACACCAGCTACCGGGAATGTGCAACAAAGTGACTTCACACACTATAAATGTTAAGTACAATACTAAACAGTAACTCTGCTGTAAGCTTATATTTGAGCAAAATGCTGGGTTAAAACGCACCTACACCAGCGTTTCCAGCAATGACCAGCATAGCAAAATCTGGGGAATGACCCGTCAGACCAAATATTGTTGTTCTTAAATATTTGTGATGTCCAGCAAGGTCTATAAATGTAATGAGTTTGGACGACTGCTCACAAATGTCTTCTGCAGTGCGCGATTCACTGTAGTTTATAACCTAGGTAAATACAAAAAAGGGTGTAAATTCTCATTATTTAATACTTTTTTCAAAAATTCAGGTAAAAATCAATACGGAAGTTAAGATTTGTAACTAGGGCTCAATTAAAATAAATTTGGGACTGCGGCCAGTCATGTTGACTGTCCAAAGAAATTTTAGCTTGGTCTTGTCTCTCTTCTGCCTGTTCAAAATGTTAAAAATAACACTATAATAACTTGAATGTATTAGCCTAAAGAGCAAACACATAAACTGAAAATAGATGCTTGTCCTCTTGAAACACAATGGTTTGAAGTATTTTTTTCTGGCCGCCTACTTGCAAGTCCGTCAAAATGCCTGGCAACCTGAAAGTTTGTCCAGGCAAATGATTGGGCCCCTTCTCATACAAGGAGTTTGGGAAAGTTAAGTACTACAGTATTTTATTGTACCTCTCCTTTACTATTGAATCCCAGTATTTCATGACTAATACTTGACGTTCTCCCACTTTGAATCTCATGAAGGTGTCGAAAAAGGTTCAACCTTGCCCGTCCACGGCCATTGTCTAACTCATCATGTGTTAAGACACCCAGCAGGGTACTTTTCCCAGCATCAACGTTTCCCAACACCGCCAGTCGTATGTCAATAAACTACAAAAAGAGCATCAAACCACTGAAATCTACAAAAATTACTAAGATCTTTGAAACAGACTGAAAAGTGAACAAAGACAAAGTAATAGGAGTTTTGATGTTACATAAATTTTTTTTGCAATCAACTGTACAGAATCAATGTTTTTATGCAATAAAAAATTACTGCAAAAGGCAAAAATTTTCTAAATCCTCCCACTTTTCAGCACTGATTTATAAGCTGGGTTTGATGTACCGGTAATCGTCTGGAATGTCTTGATCATCCCAACTGTCCCTCATAAATGGTGGCAGCCAATACAATCCAGACAACTACATGGAAACCAGGCTAAAAAAGCACAGGTAACGACAATATTCTATTTCAATAGATCCTGTCTTTCAATGAATCAGTATTCATTTGCAACAAAATATTGCATACAGGGTGCAAAGAAAGTAAGTTTCACAGCTTGCCATTTGTGCAAGCTGTAGCTAGCATGTACTAGCCTAAAAGTTGATTCAACTGGCCAAAAAAATTTTTTGATGAGAAGGAATGATTACAGTTCTTCCATAATTTGAATTACCGAAAAACCTTCAATAAGCCCAACAGCAAAATCCACTAGCCCCAGGCTATCAGGCACTACTCAGAGCTGAAAATAACGGACAGCAGGTTGCCGGTCATGATGACCAGCCAAATATTTTTTAGCCTGGACAAACCCCGAGTCTGGCCGGTTAAATAATGAATACTAACAATTTTTTTTGCCTAAGGAATATCCAGTTATGCTGGCAATAAATCGTTATTAATACATTGACCAGTGTGTAAAGAAAGAAGTGTCCGATAGCCCAGGGCTAGTGGATTTTGCTATTGGGTTAGTGAATTCTGTTCTTAACTTGCCCGACGGGCAAGTGATGTTTTTTGAGGAATTTGAATAACAGAAGAACTGTGAAATAAATTCTGCTTGTCAAAAAGCTTTTGGGGCTAGTTGAAATGATGTCTGGGCTGGTAAATGCTAACTTCAGCTTGTGTGAATTGCAAAGTGTAAAAAAGATTTTCTTTGCACCCTGATTGACGTCCACATTTTTGACAGCAAGTTGGTGAAAAATGCATTTGCACGTTGTAGAGTTCCTTTCCGCGGTTTTCGCGCGTTTTAATGTTACGTTCTACCTTGAGTATCATTGCACGGCGGTGTCTGAAGTCTCTAGAGGTAAAAAGTGAAGCGTAAATCCTTTTCAAACTCCCAAGGTTCAGGAAACGTAATACACATACAATTCAGCAAACTTAAGAAATTACGAAAAAAAAAATTGGGTTATTTTATAAAATCTGCATGTACGCTTGTTTTACGTTGATGTTCCGAAATGAACATCGGTGGAACTTGATCTTTTTCCTTGCCTGGCACGTGATCGAAAGTCACCTTCTCAAAGAATTGTCGCTAATATTTTTGGCAAAGAAGTTGATTTGCATTGGCGAGAAGTTTGTTCCACAAACAGCGTGTTTATCATCAGAAGTCAATAAATAAATTTGGGTCATCGCGCAACATTTTATTGCGAAGGGCTCAAATGTCAACAGAAATTTGCATAAAGTTGTTTACAAGAACGAGAATCTAGCGCCGAGATAGACGACGACCTTCCCTCTTGATTAGCTTAAATGTTTATCAGACCATTCCGGAATCAAGTCTGCAAATGAGATTCACGTTTGACATAAAAGAAATAATAATTTATTAATTGTGCGCTAACATTTATTCCTGGAGAAACAGAGGAAAACCTGTTGAGAATTGCGATCGATTTACCTAAATTCCTTCGAATTCCCAAAGAAGGTCACATTACTGATTACAGCAAAGCAGAAAGTACAGTACGACTTGCCATGTTGCGTTACTTTTCAACTCAGTTTGTTATTGACTTTGTTGCGTTTCATTACGATATGATGACATGAAATTAATTTACTGTGGTGTTCTTTTTCTTAGAAGGGTTTAGTGCAAAGCAGCAAAAAACGCCAAAGCAAAAAGAAATCATTGCAGCGTTATAGAGCATTAAGCGACAACTTTATGGAAAATAAAATGTTTGTATCCAAAAATGACCAGCAAGACCGGAGTTTGACCGGTCAAGTCCGCGATCAGGCTGGACATTGTCTGTTGACCAACCGTTATTTTCAGCCCTGCTACTTGCTTTACATGCTGAGCATACCTTCTGATCATCTGGCACTCGCCGAACAAAGACCTCAGCTACTTCCCTTGCAAGGCTAGTGCCCGTGCTTTCCACTACATGACGTCGAAGCAAGGTGGTATGAGCACCGAGCTTGGATGCCATGACATTAAGTGTGTTAAGAGATGAATCCAGCTCTTCTCTTGTAAGACCAACAAACATGCCATTGTCTTCAACACCAATCTCATATATTGCTTCCCCGTCTCCTTCCTGAAGGCGCCATTTCATCTGTGTTACCAGGTGCTCCAGACGAGACGGAGAGGGATTCACAAGTTTCAGCTGTCATGATTTGTGAAAGAAAATGTTTAATCAAAATATTTTATTGATAAAAATATTCTTGTGTTTATGAAGTTTATCTAGTTTCTGCAAAGTGACCTTTAACCTAAAACACACTGTATTGTATTTGAACAGGTCTTCATCGAAAATGCCTTTGATTCCCAGCCACATATACATTTGTCGGTGTGTTAGAATAAGGGCAAGGGGTGCCCAGGAAATAACCACTATAAAAAGCTTGAAATCTTAAGGGCGTACATCTGTAAGCTCTGTAAATCATAGAAACAATGGTATTTGCATTAATTAACGCCGATAACCAATAAAATAGTTTGTAAAACTTATGCTCTGAGTGTCCGGTGAATAAAGCGACAGAGTTTTGCATTTGAAATCAATCCCCTGGGAAACTGGTGGGAGTTGATCTGTACCAGTTACTTTACTTGATGAGTTTCCAGCTTAAGCTATTTTAAAGCAAATACGTACAAAAAATCTGTTACATGAAACATTTTCATTGAAAACATAACGGTAGTTTTAGCCGTTAGATAGGTGTAAATGTCGATCGATTGAGCTCATTTATTTTATTTGAATTTTTTTTCCCGCGCAAAGGATAAAAGTAAGCTTAA